TATTATTATTATTATTATTATTATTATTATTATTATTATTATTATTATTATTATTATTATTATCACGACTTCGAAAATTCTTTCCGCTTTGTCATCACTAACGTTTTCGCTAAGCTTTCATCTTTATAGCTTTTATAAACTAATATTTCAAGTTGGTTGTACATTAGGTTTCTGTTGACTGGGCGTTTCGATATGGCGAGCCTTCGATTGCTTCGAAAATAAGCTTGCTGAGAGAACAAGGCATGTTTCAGTTAATATATTATCTTCGATATTTTTGTAAAAAAAAATTTGAATATTGGCAAACATTTGAATTGATCGCGTGAAAAAATGAAAACAGCTGAGCAATTTTTCGAAATAAATTGCGTGCTTTGCTGAAAACCAACAAACATTTTCGTAAGTGGGTAGTATCTGCTGGATGAAAAGCGGCCACCCCGAGGGCCTTGTACAAGTTAGCGTGCTTTTTTAGTGAAAAAAACGATAAAGCTGGAAAAAAAAATTTGCAATGGAGTAACGTGATATGTCTGGGCCAGATGTCTGAGTGGAACTCAGCAACAGTGAAGGCTTTACCATAGTGTATTGACACATACCAGTGTGCTCCTGGAGTGATTTCAGTTTGAAAAACCCAAATTACAATGGAACTGCTTTTGTGAAATTTCAGGCTGTGACAAACTCATCCTGTTTCCACTGTTCCCACAATTTTCTGCTGTTACCAGCGCTTCTATTTTTGACGAGGTAAGCGATCGACAGCTGTAATGATTTGCAGTGTCGCTCTTTTATTAGAGGAAATAGGAGCAATTCTCAGTTCGTGGTTATGCTGTACTTTCGGTAATAAAATGCACTCAGTAGAAAGCCACACGCACACACGCACACATACACACACGTGCACACACACATACGCAAACATAAATAGGCGCGTGATAATTAGCATTTTGTGCAGCTTTTGAAAGGCAGAAGAGAACAGGGCAAGGGAATGGTACGGTTTTTAGGTTGCGTCAAGTATTTTGTGAAGCTGGTAGCTGTGAATCTTTTGCAGAGCTCTCGCCAGCTGATTAGGCAACGTGATCAGATGGCCCTCTCTGTAGTTGCACCGTTCTACCAAAATGGCTTGTACGTGAACGCGGTGTGCAAACAGCTCGTTGCTTCACAGCATAGGTTTCAAGCGCCGCCACAAATAATTATCGTTTCTTATCACGGAATTCCGCTTTCCTATCAAACAAAAGGTGATCCGTACGGTTTTCAATGCAAGCATACAACTGCACTTATACGGTGAGCTTTGCTGATGATTTAACGATTTCTTCATGTTTAAGAATGATTCTAACATTTCAGACTAGTTTACTGCTGGTAGATAGCTTCAGGATATTTTCAGGAAGAATTTAGCCTTGCCAGTATGTAATTTGCTGACAACATTCCAGTCTCGATTTGGACGCCAGGAATGGTTAAAGCCTTACACTGAGGACACCGTCATACAACTTGCCAAGTAACCCTTATTTTTAATTAACTTTTTAAATTTGAAAAATATTAGTGGTTATTTTATCTAAGCGTGAGATCGCTCCGATGGGGCTTGACCGAGTTGCAACCTGCGTGCCTCTGCATCGAAACAGAATCAACTAATTCTCCACACTGTTCCCGCGAAGTGAACGCACTCGAAAGCACCCGAAGGTTTAATACGTGCCAGCAGTGGTAGTCTGGTATCAGAGATTTTAGTGGATTCGTGTGAGAAACAATTTTGTGATGGCTTTGATTTCTGGGCATGTGCTAGTAATGATCCACCGTAGGTTCGAA